AAGATCCTGAGCGATACAGACGGTTAGTTGGAAAACTTAACTACTTAACCGTTACCCGACCAGATATTTCCTTTGTCGTCAGTGTCCTAAGTCAGTTYATGGCCACTCCATACACGGGACACTGGGATGCTGCTCTTCGTGTCTTGAGGTATCTCAAGGCCACACCAGGTAYAGGGATCTTATATTCTGATCAGGGTCATTGTCGTGTGGGTGCTTTCACAGAAGATGGAGATGGACGTATATCTGGATTCTCAGACGCAGACTGGGCAGGCTGTCCTATTTCCCGTCGATCCACCACGGGGTATTGTGTTTTCGTTGGAGGAAATCTTGTGTCCTGGAAGAGTAAGAAACAACATACTGTATCCAGATCAAGTGCCGAGTCAGAATACAGAGCTATGGCAGATGTTACATCAGAGATGATATGGGTTCGTCGTCTTCTCAGAGAACYCGGGGTTATCTCTGAAGACTTGATGCGATTATACTGTGATAATCAATCGGCTATACATATAGCTAAAAATCAAGTATTCCATGAGAGAACTAAACACATTGAAGTTGATTGTCACCTAATYAGAGATCGGGTAGTCGGCACCCAAAAGGATCCTCCATCTATCCAGCCAATTCATGTTAACAGAGTTCCAACTAGCAGATATCTTCACAAAACCACTCCGGAAGACTCAAATAGACTTCATATGTAACAAGTTGGGCATGATTAACATCTATGCTCCTACTTGAGGAGGAGTGTTAGTTGTAAATAGCTATAGCTTAGGGATCTGTATGTAATTTATTATTGCTTATTAGTCCCTCTCTAATCCTATAAATAGAGGGCTCATCTAGTCTTGTAAATACATTTTTATATAATACCAATTCGGTTTCACACCATTTACAAGAACCACATAGGCACATACAAGTAACCAACTAACCGTATCTCCATATCATTTTAAAAGTGGATCAGCCAGGCTTGCAGAAATAATTGCTACTTAGTTTAATATGATGCTAAAAATGTAGTTTGGTACCATCAAGCACAACAAATATGAAGAGCAATTCATGTAAATAGATGGAGACCTGGATATAGGCTAGTATGTCATCGGATGTCACTCTCAATCCTTCCCCATGTTGCTTGGAAATCCATTGATAGAGCTTTTCCTGCACAAACAAAGCATTAATAAAACAATATGTTTGCTACACAGGGCAGCTAGAGTATACATTCAAATAAAACCTAAATAAGATTTTACAGTAAAAAGTTGCATAATAAACAAATGCACATTGTCGTAAGAGACCTAGTCATGAGGCCTGTCAAATGCACAACTTTTAGGCCTCAGCTTGGCTGAGGTCCAAATGGCTTCATTGATGGGTGCCTCGACTTTAGGTGCAGCCGTGCAAGGAAAAATGGAAAATAGCTAAGGCGCCATAGTGACAAGGTGCCCCACATCGCAACAAAAATCATAACCCCCCCAAGCATGGCATTCGCATCGTGACAACTGTTTTCCCAAAGTGCCACATGTGCATTTAATTTCCACTAAAAGTGCACTGAATAGTAACTACAAAAGCTACATAAACCCACAACCGCATGATTATGTCACATTTAAACCTCAATACTTGTGCATTTGATATCAAAAAAAAATCATCCCTCATCTCCAACATTCTTTTCATATATACAAGCCTACTGTCGGTATCATGAGGCGTTTTCCCTCGGTGAGGACAAATGTAAGCCTCGTTTGAGGCATACTCCTCAAGAAGAAAATAAATATAAATAAAGAATATTATATACCTAATATTATAGGTTTTATATATATACATTATACACAAAAAATATACATAAATATAATCTGCATTCCACTGCCACTTTATATACATAAACATATACATCATAAACAGAAAGTATATATACAATATACAAAATTTGTTATATTAGAGAAGACAAGAATTAGGTTAATAATTAACAAACAAAATATACTATCAGTAAGTCAAAGAAGTGAGAAATAGACAAGAAGTTATCAAAAATATATATTGAAACGCAGCTGTTAAATTAGAAAAAAAGATACACCAGCGAGGAGGGCCATACGAGCGAGCAAATAGGAAAAAAAATATACAAAAGAATATCAAATTATAAGTAATTCAAGTTCAATCTGCACCAATGAGAAGTGAGAAGGAGGGGTGTACAAGTAGACCAGAGAAAGCCTAAGTTGGAATATAAGAGAAATGGGGCAGAAGAGAGCATAAGTCGTGATTCGTAATGGAAGAACCCTAACGCCTCAGCCCCCCCCCCCCCCCACCTCGCGCCTCAATGCGAGGCGCACAACTCATCTAACCCAACAGGGGCACTGCCTCATAGTCGATTTCTCACTGCCTCGCCTCGAGGCACGCCTCGAGGAGTACGCGTCTGGCGCTTTTTAAAACCATGGATGCATTAAGCAGTTTTCTTTAAATTTATAAAAGCAGCACATATATGATTGGTACAGAAATAGAGATTTACAAATGACAAGTCTAACAATAATAAATAAGCTACCTATTTGGCATATAGTTCAACGGGAATGTTTAACAAATAATCAAATATTTAAAAACCCCCCTTTACTAACACAACATTGAGAAAATTGTAAGCCAAACGCAAAGACACAACTATTTTGTAATTATTGCAGATGCATAAATAGGTATATTTGGATTGGGATTTTACTAAAAAAGAAAGCATTGCATTTCATGGAGCAACTCAAAATGGGAAGTGTTGCAGGTTTTGGCACAAAAGTAGCAAATTACATTAAACAATAATAAATGTACCAATTAAGACAATCTGCTAATATTAATATTGATAAATTAAATAATAAAAATAACAAGCAATCAAAATAAGCAGTGGCATAAAGAAAATACATTACTAAATAAAGCAAATCTCACAGTGACTGAGTTGTAAGTTCATAACTCACAGCTGGAAATGAATAATAAATCTCACCTTAAGTGACTCAACTCTCAAGACACGACCAAACAGCAAATAAACTAGAGTGGAAAAAATCAAACAGCAAAAAGTTGCTCAATCAGAATCAACCAAAATTGCACGGATCACATCCCAGCCAGATCCCTTTGTCGTGCACAGCAATTTCAGACAGGTAAGTTAAGCAAAGACTGCTAGAGTAGAGAGGAGAAAGCAGAATCCAGGGTTTTTGCCCTTCTGAATAGCAACGTAAATTAGAGTAGGAAAAATCAAACAGCAAAAATTGCTCAACCAAAATTGCACAGAGCACTTCATCGGTCATGAGATCCCTTTGTTGGACACAGCATGTCAGTCGTTGGTTGTTGCATGGTGCAGTACAATCAGTCAGCTCTTTCGCAAAGCAAAGACTACTAGATTAGATGAGAGTAGAATCCAGGGTTTTTTTTCCCTAATTTGACATTTTGAGATTCATCTCATCCACTTAATTCATCACAATTAATTTGCTTAAATTACCGATTTTTTGATGCTTCAATGGCTGATTACCATAGTCAAGATAGTAGACCATATGTCCCTGCTTAAAATGATTCTTTGAATACTATATCGTATATTGCTAGTATAATTAATTATCAAAAGCCACTATACAAACTCATATTATGATATTCATGAACTTATACAACTAGTCTGATAAACTATATTGTAATGTTAATGTTACCAGATTACACTAATATCATTGTAGCATACAAAGTACTACACAACCATAAAAATTCTTGATCACGTTCACATACATTGTACGAACTTTCTTCTTTTAGAAAACCAACCACAAGTCCACAACACTTATTTTGGCAACGTATCATGTATTTTCTAGATTAATAAACACCATACACAATTTCCTTTTATATTCCCAATAGCTCTATATAACGATGTTATAATATAATGGCCATAAACGGAATCTTAAGAAGCTTAAAATCTTTCTGGAAACAAGTAAGAAGCTTATTGTAATGGCCAATAAGATAGGGCGTTCATCAAGCCTTCTTTAAGTCGGAGTGTAGCGAAGTGGTGCACTCGTGGCACACTTATACAGATAGCTATCGATGGGGCTAATCAAGAAAATAGCCTTTGCTATAGACCTCCCCCACATAAATAATAAAAACGATTTGATTCCTTCATAATGCCTTAGCCTCAAATAATATGTGGTCAATAGCCCACTTCCACGCTTTCTTTTTATTGTTCACAAGTCTTGAACTCTCATAAATTTATTGGTTTTGGTTAGGCGTAGCTTGGGTTTCCTTTGTTCATCATGCATTATCTTTGTCTTAATGATGACTTAAGATAATCTAGTGAGCCCTACTACAAATCTCTTCCAAGACCTCTCCAAACCCATATAGGAAGGCTAAGGTTCATCTTTATTAAGTGTCCCACATCTCAACACTCTTTTTGTCTTTTCATATATACAAGCCTACTACGAGGCGTCATGATGTTCCACTATCACTCCCCTCAATTACTTAATAAGATAGCCTTTCAATAGTTCTGATCCTTGATTAATTTTATGCAACTTGAGTCCATTGTCATTAAAGGTGTGGATAGTCATGATCTAGTCCTAAGGTCCATTGAGGCACAATTTTGGCGCCTTGCCAAGGTTGAGGCACGTTGACTTCAAGGAGGAGCAAAGAATGAGGCTTATGTGACACGAATTTCGTAGAAGAGGTGTGCAAGTGACAAGTACAAATATATACATTTTTATGTCAAAGTTACCTTGCAATTAATGTTAAGTAGTTGCTTAAAATGCCCATTTTTATTCAAGTTAATTTAACTTTTTGAGGCTATTTAAGTTGAAAACAAAAAAAAAAAAAAAAATTTGATTGTTTGCTGCTGTCTCCAAACAGCAGCCCTGCAGTAGCCAAACAGCACAAATGCTGCAGCCAAACAGCCATTCTGCAGCCAAGCAGTCCCTGTATCCAAACAGCAGCCAGCAGCTGCTGTATCCAAACACTAGCTGCTGCCAAACAGCCCTGTTCAGCCCAAAAAGAAGGAAAAAAAAAGAAAAGAAAGGAAGCTGCAGCCCAAAAGAACAAAATAAACAGCAGCCCAAAATCAAGCCTTGACAGCAGCTGCTGCCAAACAGTCTTACTGCAGCCCAAAAGAAAAACCCGTGAAGAAACAGAAGAAGAGAAGAAGCAGCAGCAGCCTTGGGCTGCTGCCCAAGACCAAAATCAGAAGCGATTGAGAAGTGCGATGGAGACGGGACATCGTGCAACTATCGACGTGGGCAGCGAGAGAGAAATCGGAGGATCGTGGGCGAGTACGAGGAAGATCGTGGAAAGAGAGATGGCGATTAAAAGGAAGAAATCGATTGAAGGAAAGGTCTGTCGATTGGAGGAGAAAAGAGAAGTTGAGAGGAGACAGCAGGTTATCAGAGAAGAGAAGTCGAGAGGCTGGGAGCGATCAAAGAGGACATTAGCAGGCTGTTCGATTGGGGATATAGAAGTCGATTACGAGGAAGAGGAGAAATCGAGGAGGACAGAACCTATCGATTGAAGCAGTCAATCAAGAGGAAAAATCGAGAGACTGAAAATTGAGAGAGGGAAGCAGAAATCAAAGAGGCTGTCAATTGAAAGGTATTAACAAACAGAAGAGAACAGAACCTGTGGATTGGGGGGAGAAACAAGGACCAATTTCCTAATTTTAGGAGTGTTTTCTGAGACGAATTCTAAAGGTTATCGTCAATTTCTCCATTTCAATCAACAGGTTAGTTTATATCAGTCTTGGAAATGTGCAGTTAATTTCTTTAATTTCTAGCAATTGGGTAGCTCATTGATTATGATTGTGACTGTGTTGAGACTGGATTTGGTTCATGATTAATAAATTTCATTTATGCAATCCTTGTGCCCTTTTGTTTTCTCCTATTCGAGTTTGATTACGTAAGTTGGATCCCTTTCTTAGTCTAATTTGGATTTGAATTGCTAGGGTGATTTATGAATCCGTAATTGTTTGTAAATCTCTCTCGGTAGCAAATGATGCACGGTTGGCAAGTGTGTTAATTGTATGTATTGTAGGATGGCATAACCCAACTCACATAAACGGCATCCGTTTATTGGTTGGTTTCAGTATTTGTATGAACTTAATGCAATTGACAATTAAAGTCCAAGTCCGTGACTGGATTAAATTAGTTGATTAAAGGCTAGTTATCGGGGCGTCTCGTATTAGTCATGTTTTATGTCAAATAGAATGTCAATGCGTATTGGTGTTCAATCCGATTTGAGATCCTTTTAGAGAATGGTTTGGTCGGGTCAGTGATACGTAATTCACATGATTATTCAATCGATACTCATTGCTAGATTATTTCGTATATCGCCTAAAAGTCTTTATTTAATTGGCAATTTTTTTTATTATTTTATAAATCATCCAAACCCCCCCCCCCCTTTTATATATAGTGTTTTATTGTTAATGAATTTGCACACGTTTACGTCTTGGATTTATAGTTAACACCGAGTCCCTGAGGAGACGACCCTACTTATCGCTATCACAAGTGTGTTTTAGAGATAATAGGCTTATTTTATAAAATTCTATTATTTGCCGGACTCGACACCCGTCAGCAAGTCAACATTGTTTTGGCATGTTGAAAGAATCAACTTTTTCCCTTAGGCCTTTCTAATTTAAATTCTTAAGACCATTAAACATGTTTAAACTAATATATGGTAGAAAGAGGGAAACAACATTAGAGAATCACATCAGGGCCCTCCCACTATCTCATATAAGCCTCTGTCTTGTGTGCCTCTTCATCTCTTCCATCTCTCGTCTCATCTCTTTTGATGAATTTGTTAAATGCCTCTGAAGTTAATTCAATCTTGGTGATTAATATGTTGTTAATGTTGTACAGATGTCAATAATCTATGCTATCAAAGTTGCTGTTAGTCGAATATCAACAGTTAACCAATGTGGGTGATTAATCAACGTAAAGGTGATTGTTAAATTATTAGTAGATAATTCTTTCATTTATTTATGCGACTCTGCGTGTGTGTATATATTCTTTGAGAGCTTTGTAAGTAATGTGTGTGCCTATGATGAGATGCATGCCTCTCTTTGTGCCTCGTAACTATGCCTTCTCAGGGCCTTGGCACCTTGATGCGCCTCTCCCCTATGGTAACACGACTTATATACCGCAGTTTCCCTTTCTTTTTGTCTTATCAAACTTGTATGCATTTTCTCCACTTGTATTAATATTACCACTATCTTGCATTTTCTCCATATGTTTTGACCTTTACCTTTTTCTTGGCTTCCCTCTTGGCTAGTTGCTACTACTCCGATTCTAAAACCACAATAAAGATCGTTTATGAAAAATCTTAAGCTATTTTGACCACATCATTTGCTATATTCAGTACATTGTTGCACTAATTAGCAAATAAATTGAAGGATATGGAACTTACACTTGGCCTATGAAACATCAGCAACATCCCAGCCCTATCGATTTGCTATTCACATAGTATCACCACATTCGATAAAAAGACTAATGATACACATAAATAGGTTAACACCAGCATCAACAAGGAAACCAAATTCCCATAAATGAAAAAACTAGGGTTCAATAGGTAACCTAATAAGATCACAACACACATCATCATATAATTTGAAAAGGATTTCATAGATTATATACCAATCCATGGCGTTCACCGGAAAGGAAAGACAGCTTCTGATGGCTCATGGCCTGTGAGTAAAGCTGAGAAAGAGAGTTAGCGGCACTGCAAAAAGTCGAGTACATCGTCCGATCGACTTCATCTAGGCTCGTTGCCAAAGATTTCCTCTTCTTTGCCATAATAATTATTCAAAAGCACAAATAAAAAAGGGTTCGTTTTCGTTCCCTGTAAAAACCCTAGTCCCAAGTATTTCGTGTGTTTCAATGAATCGGATTCCGGCAAGTTTCACGGCAAGAAGCAACCTTTGGTGATTGGATGTTACGTATGGATTTTGTGTATCTTATTCTTATGAATGTGAATCGGTGATGAAAGAGAAGACAGATGACAGGCCTTCTTAACCTATCTATACGTATCCTGTTTGTGTGTCTCACGCACGCGTTCTTTCCTTCGAGACTGGCGAGGAAGAAAGGGCCAAATTTCAGAACATGGAAACTTGAAGGGCTTGAATGAAAATTTATTACTTCCATAAAATACAACTAGGGTTGCCCTAAAACCGGTACACGGATAACCCAATTCAACCCTAACCGGAAAAAATAGGTCGATGAATCCAACTCAAATTAAAGTAGGACCTATCGGGTTTTAAGGGGTTGTTTGTTTACCTTTTAACAGTTACATTAATAGACAACATCTAAATTATTAAGAGATGAATCTTGTTTGGCAAAAAAAAAGTTTGTCCCTTAATGGTTCTAAAACCCTCTAAATGGTTTTGTATCATAGGTCTCCCTTAACCATTAAGCGTCCTAATTTCATTCTAAACAATTACCAAATAATTATATTTCATTTTCACTATATCATGAAAGTCTCTTAATCATTCTGATCACTTAATCATTCTGCACCAAATCATTCAGCAACTGTCAAACAATCCCTAAATCTTGTCGACATGGTCAGACCTGAATAGAATCAGGTACAAATCAATCCAAACCAACTTGATGAAAGAGATGAAAAATACAAAACCATTCCTTTCAAAAGGATAGAAAGTAAAAGGAAATTACATTCTTGGTCCCTATGTTTTATCTGCTTGTTGGTTTTGCTCTTTAAAATTCATTTACATCAGAGGTTCTTATTTCCTGTTTTACATACCAAAAATATTCTCAAGTTAACAACGTTAATGAAGTACCCTTTTAAGTTAGTCATGCTCGGTTCACATGAAGGACGATTTGATCTTTTTACCATGGTTTTTTCTGTTAAATAACTAGGAACAATATCAAAAATGTAACAAACTGTCCCATGTAGATAGAAAAGGCAGATTAGTGAGCTTACTATAAATTTAAAGTTGTGGGCTACTGTAACTTCCATCGTGATTTTAAGCTGAATCAAAATTATCAGGTTATCACGTTGTTGGGACGTTACAAGATTATTATCATGTTGTTGAAAATACAGGGTCATTCCTCTCAAAAACGATAAAAGTAAAGAGTGAATTACACTCTCGGTCCCTATGTTTTGTTTGCCTTTTGGTTTTGCTCCCTAAAATTCATTTATGTCGATGGTCCTTATTTCGTGTTTCACATGTCGAAAATGTTCCTTTAGTTAACAACGTTAATGAAGTATCCTGTAAGTTAGTCATGCGCCCTTCACGTGAGGGGCCATTTGATCTTTTTACCATGATTTTTTTCTTTTAAATAATAAAATCTTTTTATTTTTTTCATATATTTTTTTCACGTATATAATGTTACAGTTCTGTTTATAAGTGATTAAAAAAAATATTTCATAAAAATCATGATCAAGAAACACCATCATCAAACATTGTGCGACAACATCAGAATTATAAGTCTACAATTCAACTTGATCTCAAGAGTTGCAGCGGAAATAAAGTACACTGCTGAGATTTATTACAAAACTAGGAATAAATTCTAGGCGACTATATAACTAGAAGAAAGTGCATTCCCTTCAAAACTCCAGCTCACACTTTCCTCTTGACCTTGCTAGAGCTCTCGACGTGGTACTTCCCTGAAAATGTTTTCAGTTAAGGTCTAGTGAATTATGTCTAACACATTAATACATGTTTAAATATTTCATTTAAAACACAATCGAAAATAACAATGTACGCATCAAAATCAATAAAATGCCAAACACTCGTTGCAACGGTTGAACACACTTATTGTCACACACACACACACACACACTTGTGACCAGTCAATTGGGCCCCCACATTTGCCTTATAAGTGAGCTATATGAAACGAATTCATGTGCTTCATTCAAGTACACACTTTCCGTAAATCAAAATGCATAGTACATACTCACATCAGTATGTACATGTGCATACCATCCAGATGAATTCAGCTACAAAACCCATGCTATGAGTGGTACAAGTGCATGTTTACTTTCACATTCAGCATGAGACAGGCATTTAAGGGATTTTACCATCATATAATTTATTTTTGAAACCAATGCTGAGGCAGCCCTACCCCTGTAGTTGACAGCCCCTCATTTCCCGACATAGATGAATTACTGATTCATACTTTCATCAGTACTTACTATACCAATACGACAGGCTTATTTGTCTAAAGGGGCAGTATTACCATGGTGTTCATAAGTTTTTCACTTTTTGAAATCACCCCCCCCTCTCTCTCTCTCTCTCTCTATATATATATATATATATATATATATATTCTTTTTCAAATATTCTAACCTTTCATTTTTATTCAAAACTTCAATAACGAGTATATTGATACAATATTTTCATTATATTTTACAACTTATTAGTTCGTTTAAACTTTATAAAACTAACTTATAATAACCGATAAACATGTTCAAATATAATATAAGCATTGAACCTATTAATACGATAAAATATTTCATAAATTTAATAACGAATAATAGATTCCCTTGGTTTATTAAAGCTACAAAAATTTGGAACATTTCCAACAATTGTGTTGTTTCAAATATTTCGGTATTTAACCACAAATGTGATGCCTGATTGGTTTAAGCTTGATTCCAAAGGTCAAAAGTATATGGAGGTTCCATGTTTAAATCTAAGGAGAAATATAAATCCCCTTGTGGTCATGAAGGTTCAAATACGATGACTCCGGACTATCTACAAAACAAGTTATAGTTTTGGAATTAGTCGGCTCACATATCATATCATGTTAGATATCGAGGATAATAAAAAAATACATGTTATTGTAAATTGTAAATCGTAAATAAATGATTGAAACATAAATTGGGTAAATTTGAATGTGTATGTATGTCCATTTCCTTTCATGTGTTTTTAGCAGCAAATTCGTTTTTGATCCACCTGAGTATTATTTAATTGATTGAAGCCTTCCCTACCGATCACGCCCTCCCTCAAACACACAAACACCACCTGTGTAAGAGGGTCACTTCTTTCTGGATTCATCGAGGTATGTTGTATTTATCAATTCAAATCTTCAACTACGAAAATTGGTGTTTCTAGATCTGAAATTCCTAGCCATTTGATTTGTTGAATCTACGTAGTGTTAGTCTTCTCGATCTCATAAATTTTGGATCTGCAACGAGATCAATATAAGTTCTTTCTTTCCTGAATGTTACTCTATTGTTGATTTGTTATATTTGCAAGTTTTTTCGTAATTGTTGTGAATTGTGTGAGGAATGATATTTGGTTCAGGGGTAGATTAGTGTCATAATAGTCTCATTATCGACCTGGGAATTGTTTCCGGACTTCCATCCCTAATCATATGGAAGTTGCAGTAATTTTCGTTTTAGGCCTATTATTATATGAATGTTTGCATTTTTTTGGTGAAATTTCAAGCTGAGATCACAGTATTTTGCTATTGGTGTCAAACTCTTTTGATAAACTATATGCCCTCAAAATTCAGGAATTTATTTTCTAGTCGACGGTGATTGCAAATTTGTGTACAATCAGTGAATGATAAAGTTCCTCAAATATCCATATGTTGATGGCACTCTTAGTTTTGTCATCTTCTTGTGTGAAATGCACCACAATCTTAGGAGTAAAGTGTACCATTTGGTCAGTTTCTACATCTATTTGATGTTTATATTTCGTAGTTCCTCATAAGTATTGAAGTTTCCATGGTATAAAACAACCTGCATTCAAGGTAGGATTGTTACCCACTAATTGACAGCCCCAAGGGTAGAAAGGAGGGGAGGGAGAGGCCCACTGCAGTATTTTAATTTCTTTATCTTTTATAGAGCACTTTTCCGTAGAAAAACTTGTTTAAACCCGATAGTTATAAATGTTAACACTTTGATGCCATACACTCTTATCAACTGTATTCCGCAAGCCACAAACATAATACCTTAACATTGATTGGACTATGGGAGTATTGCTTAGGTAGCATGAGAACCCAAACGGGAATATTTTATTTTATGGTTTCAGACTTGAAGATTGAAGCATTTCTTCGGTACAGATCTCATCTACTGGCACTGTTGAAATGTATTTTTGGTATCATACTTTGTAAATTATTAACGTTTAAGATTGTCAAAAATCTCTTCTTATTTTAAGAGCTGTCACCTTGCTCTTTTAGGAGTTGTAATCTGGAACTGGGTATGCAATGCTTCCTTCAAGGCTCAGTTCAACGTTTCTATCTTTTTTGGTTCTCTTGATCAGCATTTTGTTATTTCCCTTTTAGAGCCATCATAGTTAAAAGTGACTGATTGTAACCATGCTGTATATGGGCTGCTTGCAAATATCTTGACTCGTTCTGTAACAAATGACATTTATGGAAGCTGAATAGCAATATTTATTAGAGTTAACTGTATCATCTCCTTTCTTGTTTTTGTATTACTGCATCATCTTTTTCTGGGTAGGTAATATCTACGTAAACTAAAATGAATGCTTGATAGGCTGTTTTGTTTATTATACATGTCTTTTGATATATTTCAGAAAAAATCCGTGGAAAAACAAGAAAGCTAATGTGGGATCACGGAGATTTATCATTGGTGTGCAAGGAGTAAAACTTCTCCTGTGAACAACACTGAAATCTAATCAAAATGCCTCCGTCAAGTAAGGCTGATAAGAAGGCAGCAGTAGATGCTGCAGCATGGATGTTCAACATAGTCACTTCTGTGGGGATCATCATTGTGAACAAAGCATTAATGGCCACATATGGTTTCACTTTTGGTAATTTTTCTTTTTTATATCTTTCTGGTCCTGATGTGCTGTATTTTCTTAAATTCCTTTATACTTCCACAATAAAAGGGGCAGGAGTTACCAAAATTATCTTTTGAGTGTAATAATAACTAATAAATGTCAAAGCCAAGCCAGATACAGAAATTTGGGGCCCTTAAGAAAAAGATGTAGCAAGAATACTAGGCAATGAAATTTTAAGAAGCTACAATGGGATACAGACTTGACAAGGACAATGATGGTTATGTAATTGCATCTCAATAATGCTGATGTTGAATGCCTTAGGTTCAAAACTAACTCAGAGTTTAATTTGTACTGGCTTTTTTCATACTCACACATACATGAATATACATATGTATACTCTATCTAATTTTATGTTTGTATGCAGCGACAACATTAACCGGATTGCATTTTGTTACTACCACCTTAATGACTGTTGTTCTTAGGTGGCTGGGTTACATTCAACCATCCCATCTACCCACTCCTGAACTTCTGAAGTTTGTCCTATTTGCCAACTTCTCCATTGTCGGAATGAATGTCAGTCTAATGTGGAATTCAGTGGGATTCTACCAGGTACCCAAATGCTCCTTAGTTTTGACCTTCCTGATCACCCATCACGATTTTGAAATATCTATGTACATAACCCCATGCAATTTGGATGAAGGCTCTTCATTTTCGTGATTTATTTACAACTGTTAATGTCAGATAGCAAAGCTGAGTATGATCCCTGTATCCTGCTTGTTTGAAGTTATGTTTGATAAGATTCAATATTCAAGAGACACAAAGCTCAGTATTTTGGTTGTCCTTCTGGGTGTTGCGGTCTGCACTGTTACTGACGTGAGTGTTAATGCTAAAGGCTTTATTGCTGCATTTATCGCAGTATGGACTACATCTCTCCAGCAATATGTAATTTTTCTATCCCTCCATTTTAATGTTATCTAAATTTGAGTATTTAGATTAGAATAATGTGAAAGCTTGCAAAATGGCAAAAGAAAAAGTACCCTTTGTAAGAATAAGCTGCTTTGGACAAATTACAGAAACGCATTTGCAATAAAGATCTAGACACCTCAGCTGGCTGTTTTGATGAAAGTCGCTCGTTCTTTTAAAATACAGGTTTTTATTTTCTTTTTTGCATCTTGTGAGGATGACAGTTGGTTTGCAATAAATTCTAAGTAGGATGGTTCAAAAAGTTAATCACTTGATGACAATATTATGGGAACACACATGCACCAAAGTTTTGTTGTTCGTAGTTTTAATGCTGTTGCTTGTTCTTGATTTCTTGAACAAGACTTTGGAATAACTGGACCTTCTGCCTTATTCTCAATCTGATTTTGAAATGTACAGTATGTTCATTATCTTCAAAGGAAATACTCGTTGAGTTCTTTCAATCTGTTGGGACATACTGCACCTATCCAGGCTGGATCTCTGCTAGTAGTGGGTCCCTTTTTGGATTACTGGTTGACTGACAAGAGAGTGGATGCTTTTGCATATGATCTAGCATCTGTGGTAAGTGTACTTCACTTTATATACAGTTCTTGCATTAACTTAAATTCTTGCATCAATGCTGGTACTTCACTTTATATGATCTAGTATCTTTGTTTTCCATTATGGACACATGCATGTTATGGCAAGTGGCAGATCTAAGAAGTTCATAATGAGTGGTCCTGTTTATAAAGCATTATACATATAGAAAAGAATTTTTTTTAAGGAAAACTACAATGATATAATTCATATATAGTTAAACTAGAACAGGGAGGGAATGAGAGACAGACTACCGATATTTGAAAATTTTATTGACTATTCCAACCATTGTACTTGGTTTTTCAATGCAAAAAAAGAAAGAGAAAGGAAAACCCCTCATTTTTGCAAAACTGAAAAAGAAAAGAAAACCCTATGTTCTTCATGAATGAGTGATTTCTGTCCAAAATTGCCAAGTAAGATGGTTATTTTGCATTTAAAGTTCCACTTGTCCAAAATTTCTTGCAAACTTTAGTGTTTCTTTATGTCAAAGTAGATAAAATGTGAATGTACTTTCATACATTTATTTAAGTTTTTTTTTTCTTTTTTTCTTTTTATGGTTAGTTTGCAATGAGAAGCCAAATACTATGATGAAAAGTCAACAACTCCTTTAGAAAGGGAGGGAAAGAGGCAGTTCCACTTTTGATTGAAGTTTGAGAGGTTTCAATATACATATATATATATTATATATATATTTTCCAATAAAAATGGCTACTTTAACCCTCAAATGGTCGTTGGAGACGTTATTTGTGTGACGATATTCATTATCATTGTTCTTAGCAGATTATCTGAAGGTGGGGTCATTAAAATGACTGTTACAAAGTTCCAAATTACATGATTTCTTGTTAATCTCGACATAAGTCAATCTTTCTGTTGGTCTTCGAATAATTTGATTCACTGGTACATGATATCTGCACAGGTGTTCATATTCCTATCCTGCACAATTGCAGTAGGAACCAACCTCAGCCAATTCATCTGCATCGGGAGATTCACAGCTGTGTCCTTCCAAGTCCTTGGCCATATGAAAACCATACTCGTTTTGATTCTTGGGTTCATCTTTTTCGGGAGAGAAGGGCTGAATCTTCACGTGGTGATCGGAATGATCATAGCAATAGTGGGCATGATTTGGTACGGGAATGCCTCGTCGAAACCTGGCGGTAAAGAGCGTCGTGCCCATTTGCTCCCCAAAACCAACCCGCAGAAACATGGGTCCGGATTAGAAACTTCAGGTACGAGCGACAAGGTCTAAACATATTATTTGCATAGAATGAGAGTTATTAGCTGATAGCCGGATTTTCTTTTACGAGAAGAAGATATGTCGTCATTAAAATAAATTATTATCATATTCTTGCATATCCTTTGTTTTCTTTTTCTTTTTGTTCTCTTGATATGAAGATCTACGTGATGGTTGGGAGTAGGGCTTAGCTTCCCAAGGTTTCATTATATCTTTCTAGAACCTATGGATATAAATTGTAGTGATGTTTGGCAGATTGAGAAATTGGTGGAGAGGAGAGATGCAAATCTTATATGATATCATTTTTATTTACTTTAATTGCTAGTTATCAAATGTCTATGATTGGATTTCTGGCACGACTGCCACTCATATCATATATTTTCTACCCTTTTCAAGTCTTAAGGTTAGAGATGCCCACAAGTCCCGATCAGACCGGGACTCAGGAAGATCCTAAGGCCTTAAGCAGGCATTGATTCAAGCCATGAGGACCGGTTGAGACCGTGAATGGGTAGAAAGGATTGGAACAAGATCGGTTTATCCAATCCAATGGGTATAAAATTGTAGCTCAATATATGCCTAAACGATTCACGTTCTTTTTGATGTGAAACCAGCATGAGATTTGCAAGTCAACTTTAAACTATAACATCAAGTCCAAACAAAGAGCACCCTTAAGAATCCAAGATGAACACGTCAATCAGATTACATCTACAAATCTCAAAATCAGAGGCATGGTTCATCTCTCTATTTATAAATAAAACCAAGTCTAGAAATAAATCAACAGGGTATCATATATAAATGGTTCCCCCTGTATACATACATATTCCACTGTACAAACCAACCAATGATAGCAATTAAATGGCTATCGGACACCCCAATTCCTTGGCAGCAGTATCAAGATATTCGATTGGCATTCCAGTAGCCACTCGACTATGAGCTTCCCAGGTTAAACACTTCCCTAGGTCTGCTTCCCACTCAACGATCCCATTCCCCCCATCCAGCCGATGTTCACCGCTTGCTTTTATCGGCCCAACATGCAAAATAGCTCTAAGAACCGATATACTGAGGGTGCGCACATGAGCACTTGGGTGAGAAAGGCAACGTACTGTAGCTGGCAGACGACACTGTCACAAACACACAAAATTAGATGAATCCCATATTTTGTATAAACATTGCCTTCAAGACGATAAATTCAAGTAGAGACTCCTAATAATGCTAACTTGCTGTAGGATGCCAGATACATATTTTCAAACCAAACATTGTTCACCATTTATGTTTTAAAGCGGAACTAAAGGGCAACTTGATGTCTCATGTTCAAATCCTACTGGGTGCTATCAACTCCTTTGGGGTCACAATTTTGGTCGACCTAAAGTTTGTTTGGCATGTGGATGGGATGCTTTGCATGGATCCCATGAAACAGTCCAGATACCAAAAGGTAATTAGAAAACGTAACGATAAAAGTTGATTAATCTATTTACCTTGAGAAGATTTGAGAGGCCATCTGCAACTGCCAACCCAGATTCTCCCCACTCAAGCACCGGGTGAACTGCTCTCGCTGTTGCTTCCAGGAGCTGAAACCAATAATTTTGAAATATTGAAAATAGAAACACACATTGCTTGAAACAACAAAGTTCTACTTTTGTTCAATTTCACCTTTTGTAGACTGTTCCTAGTTATGCAGGAAGTCTCAAAAGACTCGCAGTATACTTCAACAAAAATTATATAAGGAGATGAAGATCATGTGATACCTCAAGTTGGGGTAAAGTGCATGCTTCTCCATCGACGAGCATGCCATCTGTGGCACGGAGGAGGAGGTCTAATGCACTGGACAAAATCACCAATGACTCTCGCATGTCATGATTTCTCATTAGCTCCACAATCAACTTCACTATACGCTGGTTGATTCTCCACATCTTTTGACCAAGATCATCGTCTTTAGCGATCCAAGGCTGCAATTCCCTCCCGGCCTGACAAGCATATATGCAAAACCAGGAAAGTGACTAAACAATAAAATGACTTATCATGAGTGCAACAGCTAGTCCTCCTACCATTGCCAAGTTGGCAATCTTTGCAGGTGTTCTAATAAAATTAACTGAAAGAAGGATCATTTTTTGTTCCAATCTTCCATTTATGTAGGAATGGCCTATAGGTGATTTGAAGTAGATTGCATTTATGCAAGCACGTTGGTTGTTTATCAACAAAGTGCCAAGTACAAGTTTTCAAAATGCTAATCAATGAATACTAAGAAGCAAAATTTTAAAGATTAACAAAATCTGGACCTGAAGAACAATAGCAGTTGCAGCTGTTGTTGGTGAAGCTGACACCACATTGCAAAGTGCATCAACCACCTGTGCAGACAAACATTAAGCTGCATAACTACACATTGCATAAATGCACCAAGGTTATATGCAGTCCTTTGTAATTGAGGATCACATAACAAGCCTGCTTAGTCAAATTCAGCACGAGAATCACGAATAGCAATAACAATATCATTATAAACATATAGTGAACACATTGGAAATCTTTTGTAGAGCTACTTAGTCTATTGGTTTTGTATATATTTTGAAATTTTTTTGCCAGTGACACATCAGGAGACGTTGTGAAACAATAATGAGTTCCAGATATGTTTTTGTAATGTCTTTGATTCTATATATGCGTAGCTTATAAGAAGTTAAGCGCTATTACCTATAATGAAAACACATGAAGGACACACGATGGAATTCAGACGTGCTAGAAGGAAACTACTTATAGATAAGTAATTAGGACTCTAATAACCAAATTGTGTTTAAATCTCAAGCTTCCGTCATTGCTTTTTTTGAGAAAAAGCACCAACACAAAATACTACCAATATAAAACCACTGGATACAAGTATCAGAAATGATTTTTAGTGTAAGATCAAAGTAAAAATACATTAAGAATAATATCACATGGTACTAAATTGACAGATTACCTGTCTCCATCCTTGCTGTGCAGAGGTGCTTTCAGCACTAAGTTGTGTTTCAGGTGATGCAATCATCTTGTGCCAGAGCAATGAAACAACAGAGAAACATAATTCTTGTTTCTCTGTCAGTACTGACCTCAAAAGTACCCGTGCACTACAATTAAATCCAATATGCCTGTCCATTGTGAGGAAGTTGGCCAACTCTGAAGCATTGAATGGGAAGCTCGTTATTCCTTTCTCAGAGCCGCTGTCACTGTCCTCACATAACTTAGAAACTTTCTCACTAGTAACCAGAGTTCTCGCAGTGACTGGATCATCAAACTGCATGGTTGACGACTGGCCCGTCTCAGAGCAGCTAGCATTTGCAGAATTATTTTGTCTTTTACCATTTAAGCATACAAGGGAGTCCTTCCAGATGGGTGCATGCAATAGATGGGCATCCAGTGGTTCTGCCTTGTTGACAATCGATGCTACAGCTTTGCTGTGAATATCAATTAAATTATAAAGTGAAGTCGCTGTGGAGTGAATTTGCTTATCCCACTTGCACCGCATCAAAACCGAGAGAGCATGCATGCAAGCCTTTGATCGTCTGAAAAGCTCAGAAATATGAGCTGCAACCATAGCAGCAGCAACTATTTCATTTGAACTGTAACTCCAAGAGGTACCAACAGAAGATGGCTTCAGGGAGAAAAGTGCCTCTAAAATTGCCAGTATCCGGCGAGTATGGCTAACTGCAGAATCAATACTATTCTGGAACCCATTGGAAGATTTAACTGCCTTTGCCGCTTTTGCAACATCCTGTGCATCCTCCAAATTTGAATGCTTACTTGTTCTTGAAATCAAAGGAAAGAGCTGAAGTTCACAGGCAAGAGCACAAACTGCAGCTAGAACATAAGAATCGAAAGCTGCAACAGGTCCTTGCTTATTCATTCTTTTAGCCCCCAATTTTCGTTGCTTTCCAGACGATGCTTCCGATTCCTCATTGGCATTGACATGAGGAAAACTATCTTCACCTCTTGGTTTCTTACCCACATGAAGCTGTGCTTCATGACTTACACACACAGTCAATATAACAAAAAGTAGTCGTGACGAGAGCTCTACAGTGGCACATGATTCTAAAAAGAGGGAGTGGACCATAGTGCGAAGCTCTGCCACAGCTAGATTTTTGGAGGCAGAGCCAAATACATATCTTGTTTTTCTTGTTTGTTCAAACAAGGACTCTGCTGGAAATGTTCGTTGAAGAATTGCCTCGACAGTAGCAACAAATATCTTCATGAGACAAGCTTCAGATGGACTTCCACGAGGAAGGTACTCAAGAACTTTAAGGAGAGGTATGTATAGGTTCCATGACAAAATAGGAGGTTGCAAAGGGGTTGCAACAATGATTTCAGGAAGATCAATAACAGAAGAACTCAAAGGAATTAAGCCATAAGCAGCTTCCCATATGGTGCATATCCTCCATTCAACCTCAGGTCCATGCGCACAAAGCATCGAGGCAATCCCTTGGGCAGTAGCTTCAATGGTTGCTTCAGCCGCTGGCATTTGTCTCTGGATATAGCATGTGACGTTCCAATTCAGTAGATTAGTATATATCTCAAGAAAGTTAACTCATTAGCTAATGTTTACTACCATTAAAACAATTGATGAAATCTCATGCCTGCTTTTTATGGCTTGAAACATAACCACCCATAGGCTCACGTTGGACTTCAACTCCTTCCACTTGTCTAAGAGGAGGAAAAAGCAAAGCAGGTTGGGAGAGTATCCGGAAAAGTAAAGCAGCTGCTGAATCTGCTGCAATGCCTGCTCTCATGGACATTGCTGTTCCAATTGCACGCAAGAAATGCAAATGCATCCAGTTTCTGGGAAGCTACAAACAGGATACATCAGTTACAACTTGTATGTGGTTGAGTGGTTCAGCTTATCAAATTCCATAGATAATATCCCATGCACCGAAACACAGATATTATACCGAGGCTGCACTAAGTACTTGATATAATTCTAACTGAATTTATAACTAGACATCTATCCCTTGATGAAAATTACTCATTGCTCTTGAAAGATAATGCTATGCTCATCTTTCATATATGCTTGCCTTTTGAAGGTTAACAAAGAACAAATCAAGAGGGTTGTCCAGGCCTAACTGGCCATGCACCACAAAGGCTATTAACTAAACCTGGTTAAACAAGAATCAAAGCCATGACCAACTAGATCCACTTAAGATGCTGCTTCTATTGATTTGATTTATTCCACAAAGTTTTAGCTAAATTTATTAGGGGGAGTTATGGGTTTGTGTTCAAATATCCTGTATCACTGAAATCAAGTACAGAAACAGCAGTCGATTTGTTTCTCATCCTTCCGTAAATTTCAATCACCATGACGCTCTGTTTTTTTGTTTTCTGGATCGGCAAAGTGTTCTTGATAAACAAGTCTTTTAGTTGCCCCCAAGGAGCAGGAACAGACTCCTACCTGGACCTCAGACTTGTGTAGACCCAATTGACCACTAGATCATACCTTCGGATTTTGTGAAGTTCTGTTTGATTGGCATATCCATCAATTAGGTTAACCTAAGGCTTTGCAAGAAACATGAGCAGGGTTGACATCAATAAAGCTCTATTTTTTGTTTCATTGGCATATGCCTCACTAAGGTTAACCTACGGCTTTGCAAGAAACTTGCAAGCTCGTGACCCTGGCCATGTTTAGCAAGCCAATCAGCTGTTAGTCAAGTGATTTTCTAGTTTCTAGTCACGGAAATAATCTTGATACAGAAACAGGAGATAGAAACACACATTAGGACATCCCATAAATAAAAGTTCGACATATGGCTTTTGCAGCATTTGACTAGGCACATAGTTCAATGAAGGTGTTAGGCTGTTAGTCAAATGTCTTGAACAAACTTCAAACACGAGAATGTGAACCTTGTGGACCAAATCAATATCATCAATTATTTGTAACGATGACAATAGGAAAATAAGTAACTTCAGATTAAAAAGTTCCGACAAAATGAAATGTTGCAATTTCCTGCGGAATTTGAAATGAAAAATATCATTGTAGTTTTTGTGGGTGGTGGGCCTGCAAGGCATTCATTTTTTCCCTCTAATGCTGCTAGGTACATGATGCTGAAGTCATTGTTTTGCCTTTTTCTCTCTCTTCTTGTGTTACATGCCAACCAAATGGCACAAGTTCTTTTAACTACATACTTGCTCTGTTTCCTCTAGAAAAACACAGCAAACACATGAGATTAGGGACGAAAGAAGTTGTAAAGATCAAAGTAGTATCCCCATTGTTTCAACAAGATAAATAATAGGCACCAAAGCAAATTTTACCAAGAAAACAAAGCAGCAGGCATCAAACAAGCACATATTTGACCTACTTTTGAGGGGTAGGCCACTGTCCCTAGACTCTTGCTTGATTCTAATGTATTCGATCAAATTGAGCAAAATCCCAAATTCCGCCTAATCCCTACTTATAGAATTCCTTGACTACGGAAGTACTGAAATTGCAATGCTGAAATGTGTCCCTAGGGTAAACCCGCATGGGCCTTGGTCTAACAACAGATAAGCAACACTATACACATAATTAGAGGACAAAGCAAACAATGCATCGATATTGACATCTTTTAATTAATCCGAGAAAAAAAATACAACTTAAGCTTTAAACTTCACACTTCATAGTTAACTTACCCTCATGCCAGATGCATAGTCTTCTGCTGCTCTAAGAAGCTCGACAAGTTGAACAGCAGCATCAAGAGCATCTGGAGCCCATGATGGTGGTGCTTCTAAGAGTCCAAGAAGAAGCCTTTGTGTGGCACTCGGACTAGCAATAGCGTAATACCTAAACCATGGAAAAGAAAGATGATTGAAACATGACGTTTGGAGCTATGATAGAAAAACAGGAAGCATTTTTCTGGATTACCTATGGAATAATCTTGCATACGGCTCTAAAGCAGGAAGGCCTGCAACAAGGTGCTCATCCATGGCTGTTGTTGGAGGTGGAAGTAAAAGAGCAGGAACAGCAGCTGCAGTTAGAGTGGCAGTCTCATACCGAGCAACTTCCTCGTCACATACACTTAATATTACAGCAGCACCATTAGCAACAGCCCATCTAGGAGTAGCTGGCATTAGCTGAGGATGCTTTCCAGATCCACGAGAAGAAGCCAAGACTGAACATAAAATTAATAAGAGTGTTATCCTTTTTACAATTAGCAATAATGCAACACTTCTGAGGTAAGAACATGAAACAATCAATTCATATAGTATATAAACAAATGCTTAAAACACCTAAGAATTAGCAAGAAAGTCTTGCCAGCAAGCTGATCAAAAGCATTGAGATTTCTAAACTTGACTGCTATCCTGATTACATTAGGCTCACTGAAAGAACTGATACTGTATGGAAGGTTCATACACTTCTATAATCACACGATTCATGAACATTTCAGGCGTAACTATGAGTTATCACCAGATATCCACAAGCAGAGTATCAACTTGAACTTCAATCCTTATATATTCACATTCAATATGAGAGACAGTGGAACAAGGTACATTGCAAAATCTCAACTCTTGGTGACATTGTTGTGTATTCATCTAACCTGTGGATTGCCTGGTATCAGTCAAGAACTTATGAGAATTTTTAGGAATGGCTTTCCCATGCAAAAAGTAACAGCGCAATCTATACAAGTGATACTGAAGGATTTTCTATGGGGTCTTGGACTCTTAGTGGCAGTGTGAAGTTCCTTTATTGGATACCCTTAAGCATAGACTCGACAACAATATTTCTTAAACAGGAAGTGAGTTTGTTGAGCTGGGGGAATATCAGTCATCTCGCAATGGCTGTATGATTACCAGTTAAACCTTGACGGATTGGCTGTATAAGAATTCCTTGCATCCACAGGCACACGTCATACATTTCCTGGGGTTTCACAGTTCAGTCGTTGACTGGCAAAGTTAAGTAGCTGCCTGAGCCTTTAAAATATTTGCATGCTCATATAGTCATGGTCCTAAGGTATCCTACCCCAGGACCTAAGAGTCGCAAGGATTTGCTGCCTCCGCCCACTACTAAGAAGCTGGCTCACAAGTACCGTATTGATATCCAACCCATCCAGCCTTTTGCAGTAAATTACCCCTATACATACAAGAACTTGCATGTTATCCAAATATTATGAGCAATTGTGTTGGTTACCGCAAATGTATTATGATTTTCTAAGTAAACAATTTTCTCCTAATAGTCACTTTAACTTGTACTTGGTTCCTCATACATGCTTTAGATAAAGTTGGCTCCCCTTATTAACACAAAAGATAGCTCCTCGGTTTTTATCAATTCATGCCTTGCCGTATTGATCTCTGCTTCATACAGCTAATGGAAGTTCGAAATACGTTGCATCTTTAACCAGTAATAGTGCAAATTCTTTATTGGTACGGGAAGGCGAAGACTCAAACCATCATCATGTTAAACAGAATCTATGCTAACATCATGATTTAGTCAACTATCTTAACGCCCAAGTTATTAGACAGAAGACTCGAACAATATCAATCACATACATACAATAAGGCTACAGAACTAACAAATGTCTTTTCTATAGACTTGATAATCTTCTAAAATATTAATTGCCCCAAAAGACCTACCAACACGCGAGATATATTGAACAAGCCCTACTTAGGTAGAATCTTAATTACAGATGCGTTCAGCAGTGATGATTCGTGTCACTACATCCATCAGACACTTCACATACAAATCAGACAACAAAATATTAAGCAAAAACTATACACTAAGCATTCAAACCTACCCTTTTCACTCGTTAGACTAAACCTAAACCTACTATAGAAAAGTGTTTTGCACCATGGTTTACAGACGATGTACCAATAAAAAAGCATATCACGGGAAAGAACAATTAGCAAACTAAGACACTTCACACTCTCAGTTATCCGAAAATAAACCATTCGACATGATCAATCAACTAATGCTAAGACATGAAAATATGTATGCTCCCAACCCTTTCCCATGTTTCCAAACACAAGTCTTCCTGGAAAGCACAAATCCTTCAACTGCATCAAATAAATATCTAATATATGAACTTGTAACGCTTCAAAGTTCAAGTATTGGTCATTTACCTTCAGTGTAGCTCCTCCTAAACCATTAATTGACACACAGCATAAACACCCTCACATGCTTTTACTCCTACGTGTAAGATGCAAAACTCTGAAACTCTAATGTCAACCTTAGCTTACAAATCGAATCTCAAAGTTTCATATCCCTGATGACCTTGGCCTGTAAGACAATTTATTGTGCAATCATAAGCTAGATTTGGTTTTCCAGCACTAAAGTTAGGTAAGCAACTTCCAAAAGAATAAAACATGGAAATTCACTTTGATCAATGAAATTCATCCAGCTGAACTTGGTAAAAGAAACATAACTCTCAGAGAAAGAAGAATTTTTTTTACGAAAAAAGCATATTTGATGAAGTCAAATTAAGGCTACCCCTGTTCAATAACTAGCATCCACCTCCATTGTAGAAATCGGACCTTGTATCTTTCAACAATAAAATGTGGCATATATTTTTTAGTTAGAGGGATGTGTGTGTTTCCTTGCCTTTTCTATATTTCAATATACTTGACTATTTACTAGTTTTTGTTCTTCTTACCTTCTCGCTCACACTGACAAGCCGAAGGTCTTCATGGAGACAGCCGCTCTAACCTTTGGGGTAGAGAACATGTCTGCATACTGGTTACATCACATCCCTCCTAGATCCTACTTCCGAGTGGGATATACTAGGTTCGTTTAGTTTGGTTATAGATTATTTAGTTATTTAGGTCCAAAATGTTTATATTGTGACTCTTTTCCCAAAGTTCAACATGTTTACCAATTTTATGTCTACAACAAAAGCAGCTGTTAGATCTAGAGACACATTTAAAGTTGCATATAGACCTTTTTTGGGACAGATTGAACTTGAGGATTTCAGTTCAGTATCATAAATATATAAATTCCACAACCAAATACGACCAGCATTTCTCAAGAATTCAATTGCACTACAAATGAAGAAGCCAATGAATTTAGGGGTACAACCATTCTACTTTGATCCATTATTCTTGCAGGTAAACTGGTGAGCACGCATCTTACAAAGCTTCCTATCTTGGACTTCAGTTAGCCAGAACCATATGATGAAATCGAACATTAGAACTTATTTGCTTGTAAGAGAAATCTGTGCATGTAGACCAATAGATGGCAGATCTTTTTCCACCAAGAACTAGGCGTGCCTAATAGTTATTTTGCATTATTTCCAAGGGAATTTATGACTTCAATTTGGTTGCAGATTGCATGAGACTTGAGCTATTTGGTTTACAACACAATACATAACCCAAATCAAAGCATTCTTGTTTAACTAAGATCACATATCAGTTACATAAAGCTAGTCCACTTACCAACTGAAGGTGGCTTGAGTTCCCCTGCAGCATATTTTCCCATGACACCTCCACACCTAAGAATTAAGAAAGTTTGATGGGCTTATGGATTTGAGAGTATATAACACACAAAAAGATAACTAAGTTGGAAAAGGTATAAACAACAGAAATAATGAGGACATCAAGGTAATAGTAACAAGTAATCAAATAACACATGAAGGGTTGCAAGAATGTAGCAAAAAATTTGAGCCCTAAAGCAATATACTACGCTTTCGAGCGCATGTAATGAACTATTTATAGATACTTAAACTTTGGAAGCAATTTGTCTCTGCCATAACAATAAGTGCTGTTGTGGAATACTAAAACAAAAGAGCATTTTCAGGATTGGGGAAAAATAGGACCAACACAAACCATTCTCAAAGTACGAGAAGCTTTGAAGAATATAAGTGAAATTGAAAAAAATGACGCTACAATGATCATATTTCCAGGTGTTCATGGTATAACATCAGTTGAAAAAGTGCATCTTTGTTTCTTGCGCTAGGAGTATGAAGGTCTTTTCTAAGATGATAACACTAAAAAAGAGAGATTGACCACCCACTTACCAACGGAAGTAGTCACTTCTGATACCTAGAGGTGCAGCAAGCAACAGATCAGTAATCCAAGGCGACAAAGGTCTCAGTGGTTTCCGTTCATGCTGCATAGATGGTGAAGACGATTCACCATCTGTAGAGTTACTTGTAGATGCTTGGCTGCCACTGCTGCTTCTATCTGTTTCACCATGCTGACCCTCCATCTTGAAAATTGGTCGATTGTAATGGGTTAATATTCGTAAAATCTCTCCACATGCCAGCGCCCATTGTTCAGAATACTCATTCTGCATTTGAGGAACTGTATTATACATTTTTATTGAGCATAGAATTCACCGCAATGCAATGGAATCATAAACTCTGAAGTCAATATAAGCAATTCAACAACACAGCAATACAAGTAACCGATCTAGTTGTCTATCATATAAGAGATCCAACTTAGATTGTAAAAAATTTCCTTACATCAGAACTTGGGCAGACCAACGAAATGAAAGAAGCAAACGGGGGAGTGCTTCTATCATACTCCATCGTACCATCAATGATGCATGAAATTATAGGAAGAATGACAGCATGCCCATGCTCTGGATGATGAAGTACGAACATTGCTGGAAAGTTGAGATTAATTAGAAAACTTGATGCTACAAAAGTCCAATTATGAAAAACTGTAAATCAACAAGAATGAAACACAATACCCAAGACATCATCAAAGAGGCGCTTCTCATTCGATGGATAACGATGGCGAACCAACTGCAAAATAATCATATCAGTAAAGGAATCTTTTCAGTGTGAGTGCTTTAAATAAATGAATCTTTTCACAGTGTGTTCTCAATCGACCCTTAGATACAAAATGTGGTCCAATGGTAGAAGTAAGAAAATGCTACCTCTGCTATATCTTCAGGAAATTGTTCCGATGTGAATTGACCAAAGTAATCAACATATGCTGTAATTTGTGCCTGAATACACAAGTAATTGAATAACCGTTATATCTTCAAGCACATTCTTGTGTCTCCCACTGCAGGCCACTTGCATCAGGCAAGGGGCACCACACATCAAATGATTATGTCAATCACCCGATAAATGCTGCACGAGCTTAACGCATAAAAATGTATATGTTGGTATCACAAAAGAGGGAAAGTGGGGGAAGGATCATGAAGATATATATAGTTCAACCTGAATTTTCTAAACTATATACTCATCATTCAAAACACATGGAATTCACTAATATTAAAAATACCGTCAAAATTGTGAGCAATGAATAGGCTCTATCTGATAAGTGCTTTCTTGAGATTCCATGTCACGGTTGCACTTTCAGTACCATCATAACAAAGTAGTGGAAAGCAACCCTGGACAGTGAAGGCAGTAACATGTAACTAGAAAAAGTAGTAAAAAGTTCACGTCCATCCAAGATACAGGTGTTGAGAAGAGGTTTTTCTTCAACAAGTTTTAAATTATCTTTCCATGTACCCCTTATATAACCACTTAAACAGTTGTGCAGGTATGACAATCTCAACATCATAGTCCTATTGAAGTTAGAATCTAAATTGATTAGATCCAGAATTATCAGTCAACTTAAAAATACCTTCCGCTGCTCTGGATCTTGAGGTGGAGGCCAAAACAGTGACGAAAATTGTAGACCATCAATCCACCTTTCAGATGTAGCAGCCATAGAAAAAGCTCTGCTGGCTTTCTGCTGGAAGAGATGAAGGTGAGAGCTGCAGGCTTCAATATTTCCGCTGCTACCAATCAAGAATGAGAAGATTGTAATTCAACATTTTATACACCAGCTGATGTCTCCTACTAAGCAGTTCAATTACAACAACAGTTCTGAGGTTAACCAATAACCACTCAAAATCTTTAATGCTAAAACAGAATTATTGCCTCTCTTAGTTGCCCGGTCGAATAAGACTACGAAGTAGCCTGTAACATGGAATAACCAGTATCAGGTAAAGTAGGTTTTACCAGAAATAGAATAAACAGTATAAGTTGAAAATGGAGAGCCAAGTTGAAACAAAGAGACAAAATGCAACAAATATTACTTCCCTTAATTTCGTAAAATGAAAAAAATAACTTATGAAAGAAAACAGTTATCAAAATCCTCCTTCACAATTGTAATACTGAACCAACTTAAAAGGAAACCACTTCTGTAAAACAGACAAACTTATTGTGTTTCTATATAACAACATGATTATGTAAATTGCTATTTGAGTAGAAACAACAACAACAGTAATAAATAATAATTACCATAATAATAGTAATAATAATTTTACTAATAAAAGACTCGCATGTAGAAGAAAATGTCTCATCAATTGGAAAAATTCTTGCAGAAAAATCTAAATCTAAATCTAAATCTAAAAAACAATCGTACTAACGCCGATTAGTACGTCTAAATTTAACTCACATCTCGATTCAGTTTTCCGAACTCAAACAATTAAGAATCTTCATTAGAAACAGTTATTACACTCGCCTCTAATTTTACCAACACAGAAAAATCAACAACTAATTGAAACTCCTCCCTATTAACGCCCCGATAAAAGGAAAAACACACAGCCACACACACCTCTGAGTGTAAGCTAAGTTGAAGTGAGAGAAGTTAACTAATTCCATATTAATCTTCAACAAAAATGCAAATATAGCATCTATGTTAACAAATCTGAAGATCATTATAAGATTTCAAACAAAAAAACACATAAAATTTCAATAAATATGTACCTCGTTTCTAAAGCTTCAGGAACACAGCAGGTGAGAGTTAGAGAGAGAGAGAGAGAGTGTGCCGGAGGACGCCGGAAACAGACTCTGAAGTTGTGATTTACGGCGACTGTAAACACTTCGAGACGATTTGAGATTTTAGAGGAAAATATTTGAGAACAAAACAAGGGATTGAGACTTGTGAAGGGATGAGAGAGAAATATTTGTTTAAAAATGGTTTTTAGAGAGAGAAAATCAGTAGTTTTAGAGAGAGAAAGAGGAAGGGAGATCTTTAGCTGTGCTGTGTATGAAGTTAGGGATCTAACCTTGCATACGTGGCAACGATATTTTCCTCTCGCCTTAAGGCGGCCACGTCGAGCTGGTTTCTTATGTCCATCATGCTATGTATGTCCATCATGCATGATCCATTGATGCATTATGACATGATACATACCTGAAATACCCATTATACCCTTGTTATCACGTGGGTGTAGGAGAGAAGTTGCAGGTTCGAAGCATATTCGTGTAGTGCTCTGAATACGAAAAGTGAAAGGGACTGGTTCGCAATTTACTTGCTTAAATTAATTTTCATGTGATTTAACTGTTTTTAGATATTTTGCTGAATTAATATTAAATTATAATTTCAGCTGAGATCTTTTCAACTTGTAATCCTGACCTTTCAAATTTCTAATTTGTATGATTTTGAATTTTAAAATTTTAATTTATCTTTTCAACTTGTAATCCTGACCGTTTAAATTTCTAATTTGTATGATTTTGAATTTTAAAAATTTAATTTCGATTTTTTTCCGTATAGAAGATCAATCTTTAATCCTATCTTCTTTAAAAAGATTTCGACTAGTAGTTTTATGGATTATCATGTAGGGTTGGGGTTACGTGACACCAAGGGTTTTTCGTGAGACCCGTAAGACCAATGTATGTTCATTGATCAACTTTATAAGCTAATGATCTAATGGTTTAAAGTTGCACGGTGACAATTTTTTAATTATTGAGAAGTCTCGTGACAATTTTGTGATTATTAATGTTCAGATTGTAGATCTAATCCAAAGGTTGAGAATTGGTCTTACGGGTCTCATGAAAATTTTTTTGTCTCACATGATCCTAAATCTTATCATGTATGTGATTTGGAGTTTTCGTAATAAAGCAATGTTTTTTGATGAGATTATCTTATATTCTGATTTGGCTTTCGATATCCAGCTATTACTGTATCATTGCTTTTCTAATCATGCAAAAGATTTCAATTATTCTTAGATGAATTGGTGTTGCAATCTGGTGGGTTAAGATTTTCTTTAAAAGTATATAATATTTATATACGGCTAATGCGACAAATAAACTCACACATTCTCTTCACATTTGTTGAGGTTTGAACTTCTGATCTCCTAGGAGGCCAAAGACTACAATACCGCTAGGTCAAAGGCCCTTTGGTTTTGTGGAGTAAGTTATTGGGTTGTTCGGTCCAATCTCATTAGATCTCTTCCTCTTTCGTGTCGTTTTCCTTTTCTTTTTTGATTTTCCGTGTTTTGCATGATGAATCTTCCGAGTTCTTGTATTACGGTTTTTTCGTTTAACAAAATTGAGCTTATACAATTCAATCAATCTTATTAGCTATTATTAAATGTTTAATATGTTTGTATATACCCAAACTTTTACAAAAAAAAATTGAAACAAAAATTATCTGTTATTTATTTTTATTTTTTTTGAACAAAATTATATGTTATTTTAGAAAGTAAAATTGTGTATCATTATTACTATATTGTCCAAAAACTATCTAGCATCGTCAAATCGTAATAAAATAACCGCATTTCTGACATCTTATTTCCAATTTATATGAAATGTTTATTATGGCTGCCAAAAGTGCTTTACGACTATAACGCCATGAAACTATTCCATTTCTTTGTTAGGAGTGAACAAACATAAATCGTAATTTTTTATTTTTTTTATTAACCTGGATATCCAACTTGTTATGCGAGTCGACTAATCCTAGGGTGACCACATGCTTTGCAGATAGTCCGGAGTCACGGCATTTGAACCTCCGTGGCCACAAGGGGATTTTTATTCCTCCTTTGATTTGAACCTGAGACCTCCTGGTACTTTTGACCTTTGGAGCCAAGCTCAAATCCTAAAAAAATTACCCTATTAACAATTATTATTTATTACCCGGACGAAAAAACACCCATATGATATTCCTATTTCAGACCCTATTCAAAGTTCCATTAAAAATAAAAATAAAAGCAACGTATCTGTAGATGGTCAAAACCACCAGCCACCATCGTCAGCCATTGTTATCTTTGTAGTTTTTGGTTGCCTCTTTCTGATCTTTCTTGCTTCAACCAAAATAATATTTGTTTGCAAAAAGAAGTTCAGATTATTCAAGTATACTCAGTAAAAGATATCCAACTACGAGCTTTCTAGCACCATTAAAATAGTCAGGATACTAAAACCATTATGTACATCATCCAACAGAACCATCACTCTAGCTGATGACTACATGCACCATCAACGACGTAATGCTGAAAGTTGTAACTAATGCCTATGCGGGTTTGTGATTGAACAAAGACGATTAATGGCAAAGGAATCTAGTGTTGATGATTTATACTTCTGATACTAACAAGTTGAAATTTGTCAAGGAATGGTATCAAAACATCTGGAAAAAAGGAAGTCGTACAAATTTCAACCATAAATGGTGTCCATGTTACTGACAATAACATTGATTTTTTTTCATTTCATTATGCCTTTGTCTTTACCATTATAAAAAAACGTGATAAATTAAGACACGCAACCTTTTATTTAACAAAAAGATACAAAATGAATATACATATTTTGATTTAGTAAAATAATTTTATTCAATTTTGATTTACTAATTTTTTTTTTTTTCTATTCATATATATACACTAGAAGAATACTCGCGCAATGCAGCGAGACACATCTTCATTTTAATGTTATATTTTATAATACGATTTTATATATTTTTAAGAAAGCAATAATGATTTTATTTTTTAATAAGATATAAATTTGAAGATATCATAAAAATTTAAAAAATATATATATCAAATCAATTATTTACAAGTTTTAATTTTTTATGTAATTTCTTTAAATCTTTTTATTATAATTTAATTTAAGTTTAATTATGAAATAATTTATTTTTGGTTTAATAATATAACATTTAATAAAGATAATAATTCAGTATTATGTTAGAACTTAATGATTATCCTAATTATATTTAGATTTTTTATATTTAAAATAAGATGTTTATCATGTATTTGATTATGTTTATCTGCAGTTAGTTACACGAATTCAGATATGAATCTTTAATAAGTTGTACTTACGTACAATCTACTTGTAATCTTGAATTTTAAGTAATATGCATTAATAAACAGTATTTTACGCATAAAAAGTGGTTTTTAAGAGTTTTTGTCAAATGTTTTATAATATAGTATATATATATATATATACTTGAGATCACGTAAGACCCGTCTGTTTTCGTGAGACCCATTATATCTTAATGTTTTTTATACTTAACTATATTAGTCAACCCCATCATGTCAATATATACAATGTTTAATATTATTAAATCTTTTAAGTAAAATACTTTACTTAAGTCAAACCATGATAAACATTGACATTTTTCTCAAGCAAATAATTTAAATATTATTAAATCTTTTAAGTAAAATACTTTACTTAAGACGATAAATCACAGCATAATTACCACCCCACCTCCAAAGCAAAAAGTAGCACAAATCCAAGCATGTACAGTTGTGCACTACAAAAATAAATAAATAAATAAGTTGTTATTTATCGATTTTTAACGAACACGAAAAAAGTTATTCTAATAGAATGATGATTATATCAAATCATAAAAGCATGTAATAAAAAAATAATCGTAGTTATAAAATAAATGAAGCAAAAAAATCATCATGTAAACCACAAGGGTGGTGCCTGATTGGTTTGAGCTTGACTCCAAAGATCAAAAGTACCAAGAGGTCTCAGGTTCAAATCCAAATAGGAATAAAAATCCCCTTGTGGCCATAAAGATTCATATGTGTTGACTCCGAGCTATCTGCAAAGCAGGTGGTCGTCCTAGGATTAATCGGTTCGCTTAGCAGATTGGATATCCAGGTTAATAAAAAAAACCATCATATAAAAAAATAACAAATTTTCAAAACTATTATTAAACATTATCGTTAAATAAAACGTTGTAAGTATTTTTTAGAAGTTTTGTATAGTTTATAATCATCTACAACTGTATTTATAATGATTAGTAATTGTTAAACCTAATTTTTGTGTCAGATCATTAATAGTTTATAAGTAAAATATATATTATTTATGTTGAAAATGTTGTAGGATTAGGGATTCATAGGTTCACTTAAGGTGGGAGCTAATGCTTGTTGACTTTTTACTTTTGACTTTTTATTCTCTTGGTGCAAAATCACCTTCCACCCAACCAACCACCACTTGTTTTAAGTGGACAATAAATGTGGTTGACTCTATAAATTTTATTCCACCCTATCATAATAAGGCTATTATTTATCTTTTTTACATTTGAAATTATATATTAATGGAGATGTCAAACATAAGTAAAAGTCAAAATTCAAAAAAAAAAAAAATATATATATATATATATATATATATAATGAAAGTATGCCAATTTAGAGGTTCATCTTGATGACTCCAGACGACGTCAAAACTCGTGTAATCGTGTTCATTGAGGTTCACATGTGACGACTTCGTGATGGTCATTTGGAAGTGAGTCAGTTATGTATAAAGCTGAACCGGAAACCTATGATTACCCAAAAAAAAAGTCAAAAGTACTAGAAGGTCTCAGGTTCAAATCCAAAGAGAAATAAAAATCCCCTTGTGGCCACGGAGGTTCAAATGCGGTGACTCCGGGCTATCTGCAAAGCAGATGGTCGCCCTGGGATTAGTTGGTTCAAATAACGGGTTGGATATCTAGGTTAATAAAAAAATAGTTATTTTATAAGACAAATTTTTAATTCAAACCTTGCTTGGATGCTTGTGATTTTGATTCCATATATTTATAGTTAGAATTTTATATATGTAAGTATTACTTTTATAAATACACTTTAATAAGATGTGCATTAATTAATATGTAAATTGTTTATAAAAAGTAATAGATATTTGCTAATGGTGATTAACAAAACTAATGATATAATTTGGTCAAATAGTGACGCCATCACTCCAATATAACGATATTTATATGTTTAAGACTTGTATGTGTGAGTGACAACTTTAGAAGGCGAAAGAGTGGGAAAGTGGCTTTTCAAAAGAGAGTAGTTCCAAACCCACGTAAATGTTTTTTTTTTTTAATTTTTAATATTAAGATCATGGTAATAAATTAAATACTTAGGGAGCGTTTGGTTCGAAAAATGATTTGTAAAGAAATGGAATCAATCAAAAGAATTGGAATTTGGGAAATTGAAATGGAATGTTATCAGGTTTGACCATGTGTTTGGTTGACATGAATGAAACTTAATCTGTCTAATGAATTTGAATATGTTTGTTTGGTTTGCAACATAATTGAAATGGAATAATAAAAAAGACAAAAATACCCTTACTTCGATATTTTTTTTTTATTTTTTTAAAATACAAATAACAATATAAAATTAACATTTAATGAGGAAGAAAAATGTTTATCATTTATTGAAATATATATATAAACATAAAACATAAAAAAAAATTCAACCAACCATAAACCAAACCATTCATGTTGAACATCAAATACTCATATATAAATATTGTTACCAACAAGTGTTTATAGATAGCATCCAAGCAATAAGCAGCGACTAGGGTCTAATAGGAGCAGAAGGGGATTTGTTCATTTAAACACTTTTGGATGGAATGGAATTCAATCATCAGATTTGGTAAGGAATGGTGAATTCCTCAAATTTGGAAATCTTTGGAATTCAATTCCATTCTATAGGTAACCAAACATTGGAATGGAATTTGGTAAACGAAATTGACTATTCCAATATCATCAGATTCCGACGGATTCCGACGAACCAAGCGCCCCCTTAATTGTTTGGGATATGAATTTAAAAAACACGTACAAATTATGAAGATTAATTTTATATGATGTTTTTAGGGGCAATTTCGCTCATCTACACCAAATGAGCAGTTAGGGGTTGCAATTTATTCCGCCCAGCCCACGAAGGTTACTACCCCTAATAGTTTGTCATGACACGATTTAGACCAGCAGCTAACTCAGAAGTAGAGAGAGTCGACTGTTGGAAGCATGAGAGCTGAATTAATCAAAGGATGAGATACTCAGGGTCCCAAAACCAGCAAAAAGAAAATAGAAGAAGGCCCATAAGAAGGATAGTCGACCTAGAATCAAAGAGGAGGAACACAAAAGACAAGAAAAGAGAGCATTTTTACTTTCTTTGAGCTTATCCAATTACTAGAGGTGGCTGAAGGAAATCTATCTGTAATCGACATTGTTGTTTATTTTTATTGAACTTAGTGGAACGTTGATCGCAGTCACCCACGATTTTTCCCATGTACTTTCGGATTTTCCACGTCAACACCTGATACGTGCCATTTATTTTCCGCATATTTCTTTTACTCATTTTTTGCTTTTATAATTATGGCTGATTACACTGTTTAATCATTAAAACTCGTAATTTTAAGGTTTAATTATAGTTCAACTCAATCATATAACTCATACTCTAATTAAGTTGTTGATATTTTTATTGTCAAAATTTACCATTGTAATTCCATTGTAATTGTTTTTTTTATTAATCTGGATATCCAACCCGTTATGCGAGCCGACTAATCCCAGGATGACCACCTGCTTGCAGATAACCCGGAGTCACCGCATTTGAACCTTCATGGCCACAAAGGGATTTTTGTTCCTCCTTAGATTTGAACATAGGATCTTCTAACATTTTTGACCTTTAGAGCCAAGCTCAAACCAATCAGACACCACCTTGTGGTTTCCATTCTAATTGTTGTTGATTATGATTGGAGACAAATGGTAAAGCAAGTTGTTAAGGTGGTGGGAGGCAGTAGATATTGGCCACAATATTGTGTTTCACAACTTGCCAAACTAGAAGAGGCACACAATATGCAAAGTGGATAAGATTTATGCGTCATTTTCACATTATTCTCAAACTACGAATCTAATAAATATCTCGGTTTTTGATGAAAGTCGTAACAAAATAAGTAATCATGTTATAGATTTTAATCAAAACAAAATTAAATACAAAACTATATATTTGTATGCATATAGCATTTTTATCTGGTTTTGGATAATAATACAGATTAATTGGTTTATACATATTTTAGGTTAATCGACTTATACGAGGAAATAGCAATTTCCTTATCAATCTCACTTTCTATATTCACATCATGTCATTATCTAACTTCACTCTTACTTTACTTCACTCTCACCCAAGTGTGCCTTGTCTCATGGTCAGCTCATATCAGCTATTTTTATTCGATGGCATTCTATATATGTTTTGATATACTGTTTTTGTGTGTCTCGCCAGCATGCAATCATCACAATCACCTACATTACCTCGTCAATCAACTTTGACCCTTTTGAATGCTTTCATGTTCCAATCAACATACTCCAACCCTCTACCCCTGTTCGTTTAGTAAAACAGCTAAAGATACATTAACCGCGACCTTTCATCAATGTTGTATGGTAGTAATGACATATCCAATATTTTAAATCAGGATATACACGGGTATGAGAAACAACTTTTGAAGTAATGCACTAGAATAACAAAAAATTATTTTCTGCAAACGGTTCGGTACGGACGAAGAAATTTCTAACAAAAGGGTCGGAATTCGTCAATAGGAAATGAGAGAAAAACCAAGCAATGCCAAGAGCTCCGTCAATCCGCTGTTCATCGATAGACGAAGCTCTCTCTTTATCATCTCGCGCCAGATGCAACAAAGGATGAGTCCTTTTTCCTTCTAGTAAACGACGAAAGCACCTAACAACCCATATGAGCAAAACTTGTTTGGGAAAACGACACATAAAAAAGGGTTAGCCTGTCACAGATCTGTACTCGACATACCACGTATATTTGCTCCTAACGATAGTTACAAAGGTTTCACAAACGAATCGGATATGTTTATGATTCCTTTCAATGTATAAATGTATCTTTTGGTGTAAAAACAAAAAAGTCGTTTTGTTTAAAATTCTTGTCGATTCGATCAACTTTTCTGAGTTCAGCGGCATAAAACTCGAATAAAACTTAGAATTCATAACAAAATTAAAATATATGTAGAAACATTCTTGGCCAAATACCCTTTGGCGTTTGGTTTGATTTTTCACCTCACGCTATCATGGAATGTTGAAAACATAGTATCAAATCAAAGCAAACGATTCCAAATATTTGGGACCCAACTAGTTTTGTAATGCATAACAATTTTATTTGTATATACTCAATAAATATATTCTAATTATTAATTAAAAATTAAAAATTAATTATATTTATTTTATTTATCTCAAAGAACATTATAAAAATCTCAATCAATTTTAGTAAAAGCAAAATAATCTCATGAAGTAAAACAACCGAAGGTGAAAAATTGTGTGAAAAGGAAAGTTAAGGTGAGATGTGTAAGAAGGGATTCTAGATCATTGATCATCTTTAATCTCAAACCCACTCATAAATCGTGCTTTAATATGGGAATTGATTCGGTGCATCTCATCCTAATGTGTATCCGAAAGTGTAGATTTCTTTTTACGCTTCTCACCTTAACTTTCATTCTCATCGGAATCCAACCCAACAACTGAGACCTCTGGGGGCGGTTTGCTTTGAAAGACTAATGAAATTAGAATTACAAATTCGATGGTTTAACTGTTATCATCTGTTTAGTTTGCAAAACAGATGGAATTGAATTACAATGGACTCTCTGTAAACTGTTTTTATTTAAAAGTCTTATCATTCTATTGGTTTACCATGGAATCCAATTTCATTTGTCAATTCGTCTACAATTCTATGAAATTTATACAACACATTTTAAATATCATATCTAACATAATTCGATTTAATTATGATTTTTTCAAATTCTAATTTCTTTAACATATTTTAACTAAAACAACATTATTAGAACCATATATCTTTACATTACCGCTTTATATTGGTTACCAAAATGCTAACACATGATTCTTTATCGAAACTTAAAAAAGCAAATAAACTTGTGAGTTGTGACAATTTAAAAAAAAAACTCATGTAATTTTAAAAGTGATGTCATATATATATATTATTTAATATAAGAATTAGGTTAAATTATACATTAAGAATATAAAAAGTAAATCCTTTTTTTTGTAAGGGTGTCCGGGCCAAAGCCCGACTAATCCCCGGCAAATTTGGAGGCTAAACACGGTCTCATTTAAATGTCGCCAACACTTCCCTCCTAGGGCTCGAACTCGGGTTCATGACTATGTCATGCCCAAGTCTTTACCACTAGGCTGGAAGGTCTTTGACATAAAAAAAATCCAAGGAGAAACAAAAAAGAAATGAAATTATACAATGGTGGTGTCTGATTGAGCTTGACTCTAAAGGTCAAAAGTGTCTGAGGGTCTCAAGTTCAAATCCAAGGAGAAACAAAAATCCTCTTGTGGCCACGGAGGTTCAAATGCGGAGACTCCGGGCTATGTGCAAAACAGGTGGTCGTCCTGAGATTAGTCGGCTCGCATAGCGGGTTTGATATCCAGGTTAATAAAAAAAATAAAAATAAAGATGCATTTAGACCATCTTCAACCCAACACTAAAAACACTAAAACATAGGTGTTTTTATCTTCAACACAACACCAAAACACTAAAAAATGGAGGTTAATAAAGTAGGTTTCCGTAATCAAATATTAATATTAAATTCAACTTTTACAATTATATATACAGATTAGGCGAACAATCGTGTGAGAAGGAAAATCAAGATGAGAAAAAAAAATCGATCCGGACCCTTGATCAGCTTTAATCTCAAACCTACCCATAAATCACGCTTCATATATGGATTGATTCATTGCATATCAGTGCATCTCATCCTAATCTGCATTCAGTGGTGAATTTTTTTTTTACATTTCTCACTTTAACTCTCTTTCTTATCGAAACCCAACCTATATAGATTAATGGTTTAGTACATTAAATAATATTATTTATTATTATTATTTAAATATTTTGGTTGGAAACACGTAACGTGTAAATTACGATTAAAAAAGATAAGGTAAAAGGGGTAGTGGCTGCCCGTTAAGGGAATTACTTTTCTTAAGATCCATACAGATGGGCGGTGTTGCGGGCAGCGCATAAATATCTGCCTACTTGCTGCCAATCATTTTAAAAGGAAAAGATATTTTTACCTCTTAATTTATTTTTATTATTTTTACGGAGACACCCTTAATTATTAATGATAAGCCATGAAGAGTCCCTCTACTTTCATAAGTTCTTTGATTAGTCCCTTTACTTTTGAAAACCAATCAACACAAAAGATAACATGCTTACAAAAGTTCCCAAAAAGTAACCTAAATTATTGTGTTAACTCTATGAACTAATCATGGCCATTGATTTTTAAAATATAGGGTTGTGATTAATTGTATTATAGATTTAATTTAGTACCTTATAATCTCACAAACATATGTGAACATAGTAGCTCAAGGGTATTTATGTAAAAGAGGAGGTGCAAATCAATAGCATCGGTTACAAACAGTAAAAATCGTATATGTTTAATTGTGTTCATATATGTTAAATTTTTTGTTCATAATTGCCACAAGTGTCCACATATATGTTCAATTTGTGTTCATAATTGCCACAAATGTTCATATATGTCAATTTGTATTCGTAATTATCACAAGTGTTTACATATATGTTCAATTTGTGTTTCTAATTAGTACAATTGTTCATATATGTCAATTTGTGTTCATATGGGTGTATATATGTCAATTTGTGTCATATATGTCAATTTGTGTTCGTAATTACCAAGACACTCGTTTTGATTATTTATTTCACTTCCCGATCTCGAACGCCGATTGTCACCATAAATAATTTTAACCTTATCAATGTTGTCTTCCAATGTCTTTATCCATAATTGCTTGAACGATAACAAACATTTTAATGACGGATCTCCTCTACCAATCACAAATTTATAAATATTAACAATGAAAGATCACTATTAAAAATGCAAAAATCATGGGATTTTATGGATCTTGTAACTCTCAATTAATGATATAAGAGTTAAAAAAATTTTACGCATATACCATTTACATTAAATTCTTAGATATAATATAACCTAATACTAAGATTGATTATGATTGGTTGAAAAGATTCATGACGTTAACATAATAATTTGAGCTAAAAGTGAAACGAATCCAAAACTTTAACATACCGTTACAAGTGAAGTGAAGTGGAATTTCTGTATTACTTATGACAATCATAATACTTTGCTTGTTTTTTTTAAAGAAAGAACATCCCACATGCTATAAAAGTATAACTTATTGTGATATGGCCATTCTCCTAATTTTTGCCTCTAACAATGTCAAAAATAGTATTTCCCAAATTAGCAGTTTTTGGAATCTTACAGTATTTTAAAAACCTCGAAAGATTTTCTCAGAAGTGGCATCTAAACTGTTATATTTTACAAATTTTAAACATGCACATTATTCATATAACTAATTATACATGCACATTTTTTAAAGTGAACACATTTTTTTGGGTCATAATATAAAGTTAACTATCGTCCTTAATTTGTAATAAAAACACTAAAATGAATCTGATTGTTCGTTCTGACACATTGATGATGTACATGTTACTGTGCTCAAGCGTACTCGACTCAGAGTGGTCCATTTTGGTGGTTCGATGCACATCACTAACAATGGTTGTATACCTCTATTCAATAATCATACCGAATAAGGGGTTTTAATGACATTCATTATAACTTAGGGTTCCTTAAATGATGTATCAAAAAGATCAAGGGGTGTTTTTGTAAAAAAAGTATTTTAATTTTCAAAGGCTAGAAACGTCCAGAACGACAAGAAGGACAGTCGTATTGAAACGACTTGGTCTACGATCACTCGTTATTTGTGTCCAATAACACTGAAGCTTTAGATACAAAAAATATGTATCTAATGTTGTGTGTGTATATTTTTAATGGCTGAGATCCATCCAACTCGCCACGTGGCCTACCCTCGGCAAAGTTTTATATCTTGTGGAGATCTCTGTCCACTTGCACCCATCATGTGTGGAGCCCACACGTCCATATGATGGAACATCACATGTCATCCGGAAGCATCATGGCATGGTTTATGGTCTCCATGGACACAACCATCATGCATCGCATCCTATCATGCCATTTTGGGTTTTTATAAATGTAAATTCAAATCACAATATTTTAAATGAAATTAATTAAAATAATTCCAGTTTGAAAAGTGAGACAATTTTTTACATTTGAAACTTTATAATATTTTTGTTGTGAATATTCAGATTTTTTTTACCTTCACAACGTTTTGATGTGAAGTTTCAAATGTAAAAAAATAGTATCACGAAAACAACATGTTCTTAAGTGAACCCGTTCTTATAAGGTTGTAAACGATAAACGGAATGCAACAATGCTAATTTTACAAATCCAAATAAAATAATTTATAAATTAAATTGTAATTTTCATAAAATAAAAAATTGAAAAAGAGATGCGAAGATGACATAAGAGGGTCGGTTGAGGCACATTGAATATAAAAATGGTGTTGGTGGAGAAAAAAAAGAACTGAAATATTTAAATTAATTAAAAGGCAATAATGATGATTAAAATAAGATGCTTCAATAATTATGTGATTAATATAATTAAGTGAGAGAGTCGTGGGCTATTGTGCATCGTACACGTGGTGTGGTCAATTCAAGTGGTGGGACCCTGGAGTGCGTTTAAAGAAATGAGAGCCAATGAGGACGGAGTTTTACAAGGTTTGGACGGTGTTAAGGTTGAATTTTTTGGTTAC